CTGCCCAGCTGCAGTCATTCAACTACACCCTGTCCTCCTGAGAAACCAACACAAGAGAACCTCATATGAGTATTTAACCACTCAAGATATTTGCACAGTGGAAGAAAAATGGGAGGTTGTTCAGTTTGGGAAAGGTTCATGTGTGCCCTTGTGCAGTATACAGCTACAACTAACACAGTCAACTGAGGTCTCTGAAAAACAAGTTTAAAAAGTACTTTGACTGGTTTTAACGGTTTTTACTCACCTTTAAAATCTCGTTGTGTACTTGTCTCAAGCTGTTGGGATTGTGCTACCGTCTTCAAGAGTTCCTGAATTACTACGCGGTCATTGTTTCCTGCATCACTGTACCAGGAGTGTGAATAAAACTTGTTTTAAAACAATTTTATACTGCATATTAAATATATCCTCCTAAGCAGCCTGCTGCTCAACTGAAAACAAAAATGCTGGAAGAATTCAGAAGCTGTTGAGGTTAGAATTAAGCTCAACTCATATACTTTGTTGAGAGTTACCTTCCCAATAATAAAAACAACCGAAAGCTGACGCAGGCACAGTTGGATTAGTAGCACTGTATTGGGAAGTAGTGAAACCGTCACAAGATGTTTTAACTCTTTAAAATAGAAATGTTTCTGGCATGAGGGATCTAAACTTTTGTTACTTGCTATTTGGGCAAAGACATGTAACACGAACATTTTTACCCATTATGGGAATATAAATTAAGTCTAACTACATAACAGGATGCCTGACTGAAAGGACTGATGTAAATGCATAGGTGTTTTCCCCCTGAAAATTAGATGTCATGCTATGAACAACCTATATGTAAATTTAAGTAGCAGACACAATGAAATTGGAGTTACTAGCAAAAGATACTCAGACACTATTACAACACAGATGGTTAACTTTTTTTTCCTCTTAGAAGGCAGGAAAACATGGGGAAATACTAGATTTCCTTCCTGCCTTTTCTCCTTACTATCCCCTAGGGCAGGGCTGCACAGCTTTCTCAGTCCCCAGGCTAGTAGCTCAGCCAGCCTGACTCAGATTTGACAACCACTGGGAATAGGCTTGCAAGCTAGATTACTGAAAAAGCAAAGAAAAAGAAGGGAAAAACCCCACACTCTTTTAGCATCCCCAGACTATTGCCTTCACAGAGGCAGCAGGAGCTCTGCTGTATTTCACTGGCAAACAAATGAAAAAGGCATATATCTGCCCTGTTCTAGTCACCACTCAACCAGACCTTCCCCATTCTTGCCAAGGAGGAGGCAGCAGAATGGACAGAAGCATATTAGCTCAACAGTTCATAATCTGCTGAACAGGCTACGCTGACTTTGACTGCAGAGATCTGTCCTTCAGCAAGAGAGCAGACCTGTGATTAGAGCACAAAAACCAAAATGAAATAAGACTGTTCTACTTATGAAGTAGGCCAATTTTTGGAAATGGAAAGTGGTTAAAATAGTTTCCTAACATTGAAAGAACTTATTCTCCGCAGTAACAGAGAACCCAGAGTTATAATTTTGTAGTGAAAGATTATCATTGATATTCGGTGACCACACCAAACATTCCAGAAAAACAATGAACAAAGGTAGTTACCACACAAACTTTTAATTTTTGTCATTCTTTATTCTTTTATTACCCACTTACTCAGGACAACCCTTTTTAAAGCATCTACCCCTGCTAGTCAAGTGATGCTTGGAATTCAGACAATATCTTCTTTTTGGAGGAAAAAGAACAGCTCTATCTAATGAAGTTCCATAAAAAAATTGAATGTCTGCAGAGTTCTTCCTAGAAGTTAATTTCCTTTCCCTGTTAGCCATTTATGTTGTTGCATGTTACTCAAGATGCACAACATGATTTCAGAGTACTATAACTCAATCAAGCTTCACAGACTATAGCACAGCACACACAGGTTCACTGTCTGGTCAGACATAAACATGACAATTGCTTGATCACTTAAAGCCTATGAATCAATATATTAACTCTTAGTCAAAACTCAGCACTACTATTATATACAATAACAAATACAGCAGTTCTACACTTCCAGGACTTTTACCTTTAAAGTAAAATACAACTATTTTATGTTTTGAGCTAAAAAGTAGTCCGTGGAGAGCAATAGAAGGATTAGTAGTATTACGTTATCAGAGCAGAAGATTGGTGATATAAAATGTCCAACCATTCAAACTAATATATCCAAACAGCTAATAACCAATAAAAGAGTCTCAACTTTAATTATTTGGGTCTGTATTAGAATACCAGCAGATATTCACTAATCAATACACTGATATTGATATTATCTGCAGAACAAGCTTTTAAAGCAGACGTGGTACATAAGAATAGCTTCTAAAATGCAGAGCAACACTGGAAAAGGTTTAGCAATAAGCACAAATCTAAAAGTTACTTCAGGATACACATTGTCTTAAAACTGCAACCCAGACAGCAAAGCCAACATAAACAAAGCCTCCCTGTGCACAATGACATTTACTCTCCTGTGATTTAAAGGAACATTAAAAGGTTTCCGGTAAATACAAGTATTTGCTTTGGGTCAGTGAACTATCACCAGCAATTTCACAACTGTCAAAGAAGACATACAGTACACCATTATGGGTTTTGTCATTTAAATCAACATCTGACCTCCCTCATGACAGGATTACCAGTATTTTGTGGTGGTGTTCTTTCCCATGCTCTAAACTATTTTAAGAGTTACTGGGTAAACATCACTTACTTTCAAATTACCTTATTTTTGTATTTGTGAAAAAACTAACAATATGGGGTTGTTGGTTCCAATAAAAGTTCTCAGTTTCAACTTAAATGGTTAAATCTATGAATCCAGAATTGTTTCTGTTACCCAGTCCTCAAGTAGCCACATAAGCATACTGATGTTAAGCTGAACATTACTGTCTTTAGTATACAGCAATGCAAATTTTTGTTCATTTAGAGCTGTCCAATTAAAAATCCTCTCCCTGCTCCCATTTGCAGTCCAAACCCATAAACCTTTATCTAATTTGCTTAAGCAAAAAACTGGGCAATCAGGCTCTTATACACCCAGGTTGAAACCACTTGCAATATGACCAGCAGCTTATATTTGAAGTGGGTTATTTTTACTGTACACTTACCTTGGGTTAACTTCAAGGTGATAATTACTTGCAATGGTGCTAATTTCAATTTTCTTTTTAGAAGGTGCCTATGCAAAAAGTAAGCATATTAAATTTCAGAAAGAGTGCTCTAAAAATCTGATGCAAAAATTATCTTACACATTACAACTGGCTAGGTCAAAGGCAAACCAAAGAACTGCTGAGACACTAGACTTACACATCTCCTACCCCCCAACCACACCTGCAAAGGAGGACTACTGACGCACATCTAGCCTGTAAAATAACAGTAATTATTATTATAGCAAGACATAGTACATATTACTGCATACTCCAGATACTGAGTAATCTTATCACTGGAATCAGCCACTCAAAATAAGTGCTACTTTGTCCCTCCAAAGAAAAGTTTTGGAGGGAAAAACTCTGGACCAAAGTCTGAAGTGACTGTTTACTTCTTTTGGCAAAGGATTTCAAGTCTATACTTTGTTTAAAGAAAATACTAGTATTTATATCACCACTGAGTTGGGGTCTGAACAATTAAATATATCCTATATTTCCATCATCTAGTCCAAGTATTATATTTGTTCCACTACTGAGAATTAAAAAGCATTAAATAACCTACTTATCAATAAAGTTTAGTAACCCCTTGCTGGTTAAGTCTTCCATAACAAGGATTTTGAATGGATAATATCACATTTTAAACAATTAAATGCCTAAGACCAAGGCAGAGAGTATTTAAATTGTTGTGGGTTTTTTTTTCTGTGTGGTTTTTTTTTGGCTAATGCTGAAATTGTCACTATGGGAATTAGAAAACAAGTTAAAATTCAATATATGCCAAAACAGTGCTAATATTTTTAAAGATAAGGGTTATTCATGCAGACAAATGAAATGTTAAACATCTAATTGAGAGCTAGTCTATTACAAAACACACTATTGTGCAAATAGTGTAAAGACCAATCAACCAACCAAAAATACCCACAAAAACAAGCAACAAGCCACAGAAAACAACAACAAACTTCCACATCCTCCCATGCATGAGGGCCTAATGAAAAAGAACACCTGGCAGAAGTATTTGTTCATGTAACCAAACTAGTCTGATTAATTACACAGAAGAGCTCAAAAGCACTAAGTGCAAAAAAATTATTAATAAAACTGAAATAAATATAAAGGCCTCACAACAGAAATACATCAGTTATAAATACCTACATTACTTCACAGAAGATGGAAGATTTGTTTTTTACCGTTATACTCTGATGCTCAATCCTCAGTTTTTCTACTCCTGCGCCATATAATTCCCTTAACAAACACATTATTCTTGTCTTTTTTCCAGCTCCTGATGGTCCATACACCAATAGATGAGGGAAGTCACCACACTGAACCTGAACACAGAGCAAGATGATTTGAGTATTCATCCTTCCATTCTCACCCCAGAATGACTTCTCCAACATACAACTGCTGAATTCCTTTCCCACAGCATATTTCCTATAAAACATCACATTTTTCTGAAGACTGTAACTCATTTAACTCCAAACACTTGACCCTTCAAAAAAAAACCAAACAACCCAAAACCAGAAAACCAACCCAACCCAAAACCCAACAAAAAAACTCCTTCTTTCCCGGGTTTCTAGAGCGATAGCTGCAATAAACACACAGTAGAAAGCATTAAAACAAAGTTTAAAGCAGATATGCACCCATAGAATTATGTGTATATATATGCATATATATAATTACTTTGTTGTTTCATTTGCAAGCCTTGAATCTGGGCAAACTTGTAAATAGCCTGTATCTAAATGAAGCTAGAGGTTTGTTTCTTAAAAAGCTAAAAAGCATGACCTGGAGAACATCTGACCAAACCCCCCAGTCAGAATTCACACTGGTTAGATTTAACAGACATGGAAAAACATGACAGTGAATCAACCCAGTGGTCTAGTGAAGAGAAGTCAGCATATCTGGCAGGGGAAGCAGTCCTTTAACATCCAAGCAATCACATAGTCCTGACTTATTGCCAGCTGTTCACCTTAAAAACTTCAGCTAACTTTAGGTAAACAAGGTAAGCCCTATTCTCAGCTCAGGTCGTTCTCAGCTAAAACCAGCTGCACAGCGCTCCTGAAAAAGTCAAGCCACTAACTTCCTCGCAACCTCTTCCTGAGCGTAAAGGCCATGCTCCCGAGCGGGGCACGATGACAGAGGGCCCCCTTCCCGCCGCCGGCGCCCGGCAGGGAGGGTTCCCCGACGGCTAGGGCCTGCACCGAGGGAAAGCCCCCAATCCCCGCCCTGCAGACGCAGCTTTATGGGCCGCGGAATCCCGTGTGCTGGAGGATCCTCGCTGCGGAGAGGAGAGGGGCCCGCTGGCGGCTCGCCTCAGGCGGCCTCCGCCGCCA